AAAGAGAGAGAGAAAGAGAGAGACAGAGAGAGAGAGAGAAAGAGAGAGAGAGAGAGAGAAAGAGAGAGAGAAAGAGAGAGAGAAAGAGAGACAGACAAGAGAGAGAGGGAAAGAAAGAGAGAAAGAGAGAGACAGAGAGAGAGAGAAAGAAAGAAAAAGAGAGACAGAGAGACAGAGAGAGAAAGACAGAGACAGAGAGAGAGAGAGAAAGCGAGAGAGAGAGAAAGAGACAGAGAGAGAGATAAGAGAGAAAGAGAGAGACAGATAGAGAAAGAGAGAGACAGAGAAAGAGACAGAGAAAGAGAGACAAATAAGAGAGAAAGAGATATGGAGAGAGAAGACAGACAGACAGACAGACCAACAGAAGCAAGTTAGGAAGATAAGAATTTTGGTGAACAAAACCAGAATGGGAAGCAGGGTTTTAAGAACAGGACAAAAAAGAGACAAATGTGAGGCAGCGTGGTGGAATCAGGCTCTCGTCAAAATAATCTAAGTGAAGAAACTTGCTTTTTTCCGCAGGTTTGTGAATTTTTATCAAATTTTTGTTTTTTGGCTCAACACCTTTCATGCTTATTAAAGAACTAATTTCTGTGGATATTTTTTCAGAAAAACGTTGATTAAATGCACAAAAAATGTAAATTTTCAGTTGCCATGGACTCTTAAGCTAAGGAAATAACTAATCTTTGGCGGCTATTTTCTCACTAATTTTACCTCTGAAAACAGGTGATCCCCACCCCCTTCCTTCGCAAATATCTCAACTTGTATTCAAGAGAAATGGATTTTTTTTCATCAACATAAAGACAAGTGAACGAGCTTTAAGATGATACCAATAACTCAACATGTCCCAAAATTGACGAGAGCCTGATTCCACCACGCTGCCTCACAAATACTGTTGAGGTCATCTCAAATATTTTCCAGCTCATCCCAACTATTTTGCAGCCTATCCCCAACATTTTCTAGCTCATCCCAACTATTTTGCAGCCTATCCCCAACATTTTCTAGCTCATCCCAACTATTTTGCAGCTTATCCCCAACATTTTCTAGCTCATCCCAACTATTTTGCAGCCTATCCCCAACATTTTCTAGCTC